GAGAAACCCTGTCTCGAAAACACACACACACACACACACACACACACACACACACACACACACACACACACACACGCACACACACACCATGTCCATCTTCATCCTGCTTTTTACACTTAAAGTGATATATTGAGAATTTTTCACGCTGCAAAATGTCTTGCAAATATTCTCGAGGTAATACAGCACCATTCATTTTAAGGAGTTACTATAATACATCTGCTGGTTACTAGTGAGATGTTATGCTATTTCTACCCTTTTTGGTGTTGTATGTGAGGCCATAGAGAGCAACCTCATGAATAAAGTATTCAAGTATAGTTGTTTCCTAGAATCATGAGTATACGGTCAGAGATGGCCACCACCTTGTGTTAAATTCTTCAGGTAGAGTTGTATCCGCCTAACGGCTAACTTCAAGAGGGTTTTAGACAAAATAGCAGCTTCTTGGGTAGAGACCGCAAAGGGAATGGCTAGCCAGGAGGCTGCCTCTGTTTGTACGGTGGGTGAAGAGGGAGTTCCTGGGTCACAAGTGACACAGTCCAGCGACGCCTCCTCAACCACGTCCTCTGTCTGACAGCACCATCTGGTATGAGCTCCACGCCAGGGAGTGGCCCTTCAAGACTCAACCAGCAGAGGCAATAATTTGGCAGATGGGCGCAGGCATGAAACCCAACCTCAGCCAGATTGGAATGGGAAAAGAAATCTCGGTAAGTCCCAAGAAGGGCGGAGTGAGGGGGACAGGGAGAGATTCAGACACAGTCCTGGGATTTCTTGGTTCTGCGTGTGAAGGTTATAGAAGCTTTCCCAGAGAGTGACTAAAGTGATCTGCCTGGAGCTTTAAAGGGCCAGTTCTCAGCACTATGCCTGCAATTCCAGGGGCCTGCCACCAGGGGCGCAGTAACACTTAGTCACCCTCCTGGCAATGGCTTGCTGCTTCAGATAAAACAATGAATATCTACCTGGTCTGCTACTTTTTAAACAATATTAATTAAAATATCACAAACAGTATTAGCATTCATTTTTACTTGCATCTAACAATAGTATTAAACCACTATCTAACTCAGAGTATGCTAGACAGAAACTAAGAGGCCTGACTGTAAACGAACACTGTTCCTTTTGAATACAATGGGGAGAATCCTTTCTTTTGGTCAGAAGATGGGTAAGTCAGGGAAGCAGTAATTACACAGGTGTTCATCAGGACCACCTGCCTCCAGGTTCCTCTTCCTGGGCAAGGATATGGTTGAAATTAGCTTTTCTCCTCTCTAACTTTGATGGACACCTACTAATCGAGTGGGATGTAGCTAGAGACTTCAGGATTTCCTTCCATCTCTCACATTCAAGAGAAATGCCAAGACACTCCCTGGAGCTACTATTGGTCTTGATATATCTCAGGCCTTGTAGCAGTGAGCCTCTCTAACTTGCTAGAGTAGCTAATCAAGAAAAGAGGAAGGAGGGAGGGTGGGGGATAAGATGAATGGGTGGATAGATAGATGACAGATGAAGCTAAATAAGTGAATTGATATAGCACAATGGTTATGAGGATTCATGCTTTGTGGAGAGTAGATAGATAATTGGATGGAATATTATGTGGATTGTGAGTGATAGATGGTGGTGAGTGGATAGATAGATGAGAGAGTGGATAATTTATGTGTGGATGAATGGATGGAAGTAAGGATGGTGAATGAGGATGAATGGGTTCATGTAGATGGTTGGATGGTTGGATGGATTTTAGTAAATGAATAGTGGTGTTCATGGGTGACGGGTGAATGAAAAATGATGGGTGCTAGATGAAGGATGAATGAATGAGTTGATATGGATGGATATGTAGATGGTAGGCAGATTGATGGATGCATAGGATGGCTGTGTATATGAATGGGTAAGTGATTAGTGAGTGGATGGATGGATGGATGGATGGATGGATGGATGGATGGGTGGGTGGATGGATGGGTGGGTGGATTGATGGATGGATGGATGGATGGGTAGGTGGGTGGATGGATGAATGAATGGATAGATGATGGATGGGTGGATGGATGGATGGATGGATGGATGGATGGATGGATAGGTGGATAGATGGATGGGTAAGTGGGTGGATTGATGGAAGAAAGGAAGATGGATGGATGGATGGATAGATGGGTAGGTGGGTGGGTGGATGGATGGGTGGGTGGAAGGAAGGGAGGGAGGGAGGAGGGAAGGAAGGAAGGATGGGTAGGTGGGTGAGTGGATGGATGGATGAATGGATGCATGATGGATGGATGGATGGATGGATGGATGGATGGATGGATGGATGGATGGATGGATGGATGAGTTGAGGGATGTATAGATGGGTGGATGGGTGGGTGGGATGGCTATGTTTTTCAGGGGGTAGATTGATAGTGGCTCCTGAGTGGATGGACGGATGCTGAGTAAGTGGATGGAAGGGTGGATGAGGGAGAGATGTGAAGTGGTCCAGATGGGTAGACAAATGGCTAGCCCCAGAGCAATGCCCAGTGCTGAGACTTGGGTGAAGGCTCAGTAAAGTCACCTCTTAGGTCCAGTCATGGCTCACTGGTTTCTTCTAGGACATTCTGCTCTTCTGCTGGGCCTTTGAGCAGGAAGAGCGACCTACCTTCACCAAGCTCATGGACATGCTAGAGAAACTGCCAAAGCGAAACCGCCGCCTGTCACACCCCGGACATTTCTGGAAGTCTGCAGAGTACGTGTTCCCCTCAGCAGCTCCCCCCGCTGCCTTACCCTTTGACCTTTTACCCTTTGACCTTTGTCTCCTTTTTGCTCACCTCCTCCAACCCTTCCCTCAGCTGGCCCCGCTCTACATACCCAGCACCCAGCTGCCACACTTCTCTACCAGGGTCTGTTCAGGGGAGCCCATCACGGCGCTGGGGCCCCAGAGTCCGCCTGGGGCTGGCACAGTGACCTCTGGCTTGTTTCTTCCTGATGACAGACATCACCTCAGTCTAAGCAGCTGTCATGTGATTGGGGTCTCCTCAATGAAGCCTGACTGGCAGGGTTCCTCTCACCCGGGGCCAGCACCTGCCCCCTTCATGGCAGATCTCAGCTCCCAGCATCCTCCATTGCAGAAGTCTAGAGACAGGAAGGGCTCCCAGCTTCTCGTCATCCTCTCCCTCTGCTCCCTTCTTAGGAGGGTCCATGCCTGTCCTTGCCATTGTCCTAGCTGTAGATCCCTTGCTTTTCGCGAGACCAGGAACATGTACCTCACCCCGGGGTCCTGTCCCCAGGCCTGCCTTCATGATGGAACTCTCTTGAACATGAGAGAGAGGCTGCTAAGGGGGCCCCGTTTCCTGTTGCCATCCTAGGTACTCCCCAATAAGCTCCCACAAACTCAGGTACACACACACACACACACACACACACACACGAACCCAGAAACAGTACTCCACAAACCTACACACACACATATGAGAGAGAGAGAGAGAGAGAGAGAGAGAGAGAGAGAGAGAGAGAGAGATGCACTCAGTTGTATACACACCTCCATACATAGTGACGTTCCATGGAAGTACACCCTAAAGCCTGCTCATGCAGGCAAATTCAGGTACAAACAGAGCAGTTACATAGAAATACTACTTGGCACGTGAGGACATGTGCACACCCACGTGTCTGCCCTATCTGCTCACCAAGCATGTCTGCACACAAACGTGTAGATGCCGGTACACCATAGGACCCCATGAAGACCTTTAAGGTCTCAGGAGATGCGCATGTGGAGACAGCCCTGCCCTTGACCTCGTTGCTTCTCATCCCAGGGGCTCCCCCTTTTTCCTGGGCAATTAGAAAGAACTCAGAGTCTGCAGTCAGAGGGACACAGGTTGAAATTTCCTCTCTGCCATTAATAGCCATGCGACTTGGGCGAGTCCACTGGCTTCTCTGAAGTAGAATTCCATGCTCTGAACATTGAGGGTGGTGAAAGCCACGGTAGGGATACTGTGAGGGACCAGCAAGGTCATGTGTTTCTGGGCACAGTGCCTCTCAGATAACCAATGTTCACTCTGCCCTGGCCATCACTGTGTGCCAGGATGAAACAAGAGCCTTGGACTAGCAGCCTGGTGGCACTTAGAGCCCAGTCATGAAAGAAACATGTAGGAGGCCGCTCAAGCCGGGCGCCAGTCCGCCTTCTAAGAGTGGCTTAGGGTATCTGATGTATAAAACTCAAAGGTCCTTTGGACCAGCACCCAGTGGCCCCTGAGCAGGGCTTGAACTGAGGCAGGATGCCTTTTTCTGGGTTTTCTAGGTTCTCTGGACAGACTGAAGAGACTAAAGAAACAGGATAAGTTGTGGTCCTGGGTCCCATGATGCTAGAAACCCTATGGAACTTTCCATTTGGTTTTATCATTATTCATCTTGTGTGTATGTGTGTTGGATTCCTGTGGAGAATCAGAGCCCATGCTAAAAGGGGACATGTGTGATCATGAGGGTCTGATATGTGATCAGGGTGCCAGTGTCAAGTCCACTATACAGGTCTGGCCTCACACCAGAGGTCTCTGTCTTCAGCCATGTATCAGGCTTTTCCAAACCTACACCCTGGATTATCTGCTGCCGTGAGGGAGTTCTGTGTTCAAATCTTGACCCTGAGGCTTGGGCGAACCACATAAACTCCCTGATCCTCAGTTTTTATTTGGGAAAAAAGGGTACAAAATGCCCACAGCTAAACCCCTTCCCGGCCTTAAATGGACTCAGGAACAGGGCACCATCAGTCCAGAGTCTGGTGCATGGTAGGATCTTGGTTAGTAGAAGTCCCTTCTGTTTGGAAAGGACGGGAGCCCACCAGAGCGACTCTCATGAAAGATGGCACGATGGGACCCACATGCCTCTTATCCACTCTGTCTTCTCTCCCCCTTCCAGGCTGTGACCATGGACATGGGCCAGCGTCAGCTGACTCGCCCCCAAACCACCTCTTCCTCCCTGCTCTGCCCTCTGCCAGCCCAGGAGGCCCGGGCTTACCACCAGGGGAGTCCCAACACAGCCCAGCCTGGGAGACCTGTGCGATGACCCGGACGCCGTGGAGGCTGACCGCATCTTGGACTTGTACCCCTTTACTCAGGCAGGATCAGGGACCCCCCCCCCCCCCCCGCAAGCTAGGATCAAACTGGACGAGTGAGGGTCCCGTGCACAGTATGAAGAGCAGCAGAAGCAACACAACATGGCCGGGCTGTGGAGACCCAGACCTACCGCCCTGTGGGCAGACTCCCTCCCAGGACCGGCGAGTGTGCATGTGTCTACGTGTGGACAGGACCTCCAGCTTTCTTACCACCCGGACAAGCCTGCCCACCTGTGAAGTGTCCCAGATGTGCTGTCCCAGAACGTAGGACAGGGATGGAACCAGGAACGACATGCCTGCTCCGTTGAGTCAAGGTTCCCAGGCCAAGGTCAGAGTGGAAAGGGTTAAGGCGAAGCTTGCAAACATCTGTTTGTAGAGGCCCCATTCCAAGCTGGAAGTGACTGCTAGCCCCTGGGTGCACAGCTCCGAAGGACACTAGGCAGTCCCGTGTGTCGTTTTACTATGGGGCCTCTCTGGGGAGAAAGTCCCCTGGCTTCCCCCTTCATCCTGTCTTGTAAGAACGTTGTTCTGACTCACCTCACAGCCCACTCTCCCCCTGGGCAAATTGGAGGACACCATAGCATCTCAGCTGATATGACATCTGGAGGGTCCTTTGTAGCTCACCATCATTCATGGTACGCACACACACCACCACCACCACCACCACCACCACCACCACCACCACCACCACCACCAAAGTCTGAGTCCTGAGAACTGGGCCTGCAGCAAGAGAGTTCTACTACATTCTCTCTTTAGCGCTGACACTGCTGGAGTTGATTCTCCCACAGTGACGGATACAGGTCCTGGGTATGCATGACGGGCTACATGGGTATGCGAGTAATATTTACAAGGGTCTCCCAGCCTCTCACCCACTGCGTTCCTTGGCAGGGGGTGCAAGGAGGGAACGCATCTGTGGAGGTTCCGTGGTCTCTGCTCTGGCCCAGTGCTGAGTCCTCTGAGTGGATTCCCCCACTCAGGACCCTGTGCCCCTCACACCACATCTCCCATGCCTTTCTTCTCTCCCCACCCGAGGGGGAAGGTTTTCTGGTCTGTGTTGGGCTCCCCCACCCCTCCCCCACCACAGGATCCTGCCTGAGGGATGCTGAGAACGGAGGGTACAGAGTAAATAGAAGGGAGTGCCCTGAGGCCACTGGTCCATGTCCCCAAAGCCCTGTCCCCAGCGGTCACACTTGGCACATGATGAAAAGCTGTCCCCAAGCAGAGAACTGGCAGAGGTGGCAGGACAGAGACATCCAACCCAATCATACGGAATTGTCCCCTTCTTTGGTGGCCCTAGGATGCACTTCCTGGGGCTAAACCTGCTTGTAAAGCAGCAAGATTGATTGACAGTGGTCACACGTTCAGGAAGACTACCCTATGACATCCTCAAGTCTTTGCAGGGCCCTTCTCAAACCCCTATACCTGTGCTTGGAGGACCTGGGGCCCCCACACAAAGTTGTTCCCACGTGAACATCTCTCTCTCTCTCTCCTAGTAACACCTGTGTGTCTCCGTGGCTCAGCCTTCATGCATCTCAGAGACATTTCACATACGTGTGCTCACGTGCCAGGGCTCCCGTATCACTAAGGACCGTTCTTATGGGTAGCTGCATCCTCATCTAACAAGGCTGCCTTCTGAACTCATCCCTGTGGCCAGGGCTGGGCTGAGATCTGCCTCCCAGCAACCTACTAAGAACCTAGGATTTAGTTCCTCCTTTCTCTTTAATCCCACCAGGACCTCTTTGGTCCATGGACCCCCAGTCTTTATCACGAGTCTTTGTATCAAGAGAGGAAGTAAGAGAGGGCTGAGCCACTGGGAACCTGACGTTGTCACCAAGAACTGGAACCCATTCATCTGCTTCCCCTGTTTTCAGATGAATGACCCACTGGGGACTGGAGAGGGAGATTTCTCCACAGTTCTGGGTGCTTCAAGGGAGCCAGAGGAAGGGGTTTCTTTACAAGGAGTGACCGATCACCCACCACCTAGGGTTCTGACCTGCTCTGAATCTAGGGTCAATGACTCTGTGAAGGATCCACAGACTTGAAAAAAAAGTGTGGTGGCGACCCACCTGTAATCCTGGCACTCTGAAGGCTGAGGCAGGAGGATAACAAGTTTGAGGGGAGCCTGGGCTCCATAGGATTTCTGAAGACCTGTTTGTGATTAAGGACTTGAATGATACAGGGAGAGTCCCAGCCTTCCTGGTTCCTCTGCCATTCTTCCACTTATGGGACCTGGGTCTCTTGGGTCAAATGTCACCTCTTCTCTCTTGCTCTTTCCTGACCTCCGCACCCTGGGCTGGACCTGTGCCTGGGCTCCAGGCTCCATCCCTCCCCGGCTTCCCTCACTTCCTCCAGCTAACAGGCCCTGGCTGGCTAGCAGCCCCGTAATGCGCAAACACTTGGATCCAGGGAGCAAGCAAGTCTTCCCTGAGGAAGCATCTGAGGATGATGGGTTCCTCTACCCTGCGCAGAGCCAAAAGAAAAAGAAGGTTGCGTAGTTAGATACACCCCCCACCCCCTACCACCATCACCACCACCACCCCGCCGCCGCCGCCGCCGCCGCCGCCGCCCCTGGACTGTTCAGCATCTCACTCTGGACAATGCCCCCTGTTCCGTCACACCAGCCACCCACTCCACTAGCACAAAATGGCTTCTGTCTCTTCCTCGCATCGCAAATCCTTTGAGACACAGGCTTCGGAGGGAACAAGTCCTTTCTAGCTTTGTGTGGGGACATCTCCCATGTCCCCATCCCCAGAGCTAACCTAGAAACTCCAAGTGGTCCCTTGGATGGTTTTATGCATGTTTTCTCTTACTGGTCAGAAGGGGAAGGGCCTGTGTGTCATATGCTTGGTCCTCTTGTTCTCTGTAGCAACTTGAGCTCTTGGCCAATAGGAGCCCTAGATGGGTGTTGCCTGGTTGGTGGCTGTATACGGGATACCTAGCGCAGGAGGTGGGTAGAGAGCTTGCCTAACACTCCTCAAAGCCCTGAGTTCCATCCCAAGCACCACATAAACCAGATATGATGGTGCATGACTAAGTTCCCATACACAAGAGGCAGAGGCAGGAGGATCAGAAGTTCAAAGTCATCCTTGACCATATAGTGAGTTTGAGACCAGCCTGGGCACCATGAGACCTTGTCTTGAAAAATAATTTTTGTAAATTTAGGAGTCTTGGCACCTCCCACCCCATGTTCACACACTGCATGTCTCCCCCAAACAAACACACACAAAGCCAGACTCCCATCAACCCCCATATCCCTTGTCCCTATTTGGACATGGCGACCTAAGGTGTACAGATCAAACAAGCGCCACCCACTTTTAACCTGGGGTCCTCAAGCTCCGGCCTGCACAGTGGTTTTTACATTCTTTGTAACTGAGGATGAAAAACAAAATCAAAAGAAAATTATGACCCAGGCAAATTTGATGCAATTCAAATTTCCCATCAGTCCCATATTGTCCCCAGCAATGACAAAATTATTTGCAACAGAGACCCCAAGACCCATAGAGTCAAAATATAATGTGGCTTGGTCTGTGGCCAACTGGGCTGGCCTGTGATATAGTGGGTTGTCTTACTGAGGAATAAACCCACCAGAGTAGAAGGGACGGGCGCCTGTGGGAAGCAGCCTACAGAATGACAAACGCTGAGAAGGGAGAGGCAGCTCCTGGGCCCTGGCCAGGTGTTGTGCCTGCTGGCACTGTAGGTCAAGCCCTTGAGGCTATGGTGAGCTCTCAGATGTGTCCAGCCCATCGCCCACAGACTGCCTGCACCCCCAAACAGCTGTGAACGTGACCCCACTACAAAACTGTAAACTGACTTAAAATATTAAGTTGTTCTTTTTTTCTATTTTCCTTTTCCATTTCTTTTTTCCCCCCTAAGGGTATGAACTTTGCAGATGACCACGCCATGTCTCAGTGTCAAAGGTGCAGGATGCATGGCTCGCTAGGCTTCAAGGCTGCCTGGATCAGCCAGCAATGCTGGCATAGACCCAGGTTGGCTTCAACAACAGATACTCGTTTCTCCCAGATCTGGGATCGTCTCTGTGGTGCCTTTCTCCAATCTCTTGTTTCTGGTGTCTTTTTCTTCTATGAATCCTAAGAACACTGCGTGTCTTCTTAATGAGAGCCCCACCCCTCTGACCTCTTCAAAGATTCTTTCTGTGGGAGTGGCCTTAAGGACTTCATCGGGAGATGTTGGGGAAAGACTCAGCGTGAGCATGGTGGGAAGTCATCCTTCAGTCCTATACCAAGACCCTAGAGGTGGCTGAGGCCATGGGTTTCCATTATCTGAAGGCTTCCCATCTCTGGCTTTTCATTTCCACGCTGGCCCCCAGCTTGAGTCCCCAAATAGGCCCTCCCTGTCCTCATGTCCTGCCCATCTTCATTACACCCATCCACCCTCCTGGGGACTGGTCTTGTTGTAAGAGTGATCCTGGTAAAGCTGAGCCTCCTTTTACGCCTAGGTCGGCTTCTGTGAGAAACTACCACATGCCAAGAGGCTTTTCACCATCCGGCAGATCCAGAGTCCAAAACAGAATGTCCACATGACCCACCCCCTCTGGAATTTCTCAATGTTTCCCTGTTGCTTCTTGACATGTAAGGGTATGTGATAAACGCCAACATTCCTTGGCTTGTGGGAGCATCTCTCCAATCTCTCTCTTTGTCTCCACCAGGCACACGGGGCTCCTTGCATCTCTGTCTTTGTGTGGCTCTTTTTATGTGGACCCAGTCCTGTTGAATCAGGACATGGTGTATGGGTTATCATTCTTGGGACTCTAAAGAAATGCCCGAGAGAAAGAACGCAAGGGAGGAGTTACATATTTTTTTGGCTCACAGTTTCAGAGGACCGAGTCCATCACTGTCTGGCTCTGTGTTCCCTGGCCTGTCTTGAGGCAGAATGTGATGGTGGTGTGAAGGTGAGGAGGGCGAGCATGTTCTTTGTGGTCAATAGGAAGCAGAGAGAGAGAATGAGCAACACAGGGAGGGGCCAGGGTGAGATGTCTCGTGGCCATGTCCCCACTGGCACACTTCCTCCAGCTAGGACCTACCTCCTGCCTTTGGGCATCACATTGTGAATCCATCCAGGGTCTCATCGTAGGTTAGGTCATAGGTATCGAACTGCCTCCAGAAACTACATCACAGACACCCAGAGGTGCTTCGCCGATTCCTTAAAAAGCATTTCTTAATTCCATCAAGCTGACACAATCAAGATTACCCATCACATCCCTTTACTGAAGTATGATCTCATCGGAAGTAACACACCTTTGTGACCCTGTTTCCAATCAGGGCCTGTTCTGAGGCCCTGGGATACAACTCAAAACCTAGTGCTCTCTCAGTGACTGTCCTCTGTATGCAGTGTCATCTTGGCTCCTTTGTGGCCAACCCCGAGTCCTCCAGAGATATATTTCCCAGAATCCATGAGCTACTTCTCAATCCTACTTAGGACAGACATGTCCCATCCTTGAGTCCCGATAGTCATAGGCTTCAGCACATGGATAGTGAGAGCGGGCAATGAAGAAGTACCAATAAGGTCACTGGGATGAGGATTTGGAAAGATCTGTGTATAAAAGGTCTAGAAGGATGAATATCTAGACCAAGGAGGGTGAATGTGTAATGTTCCTACCATTGCCACCCCTTCCTCTACCCTTGGCAGACATTGCTAATCAATCCCAGCACACCTTCCAACTGCAGCCATAGAACATTAGGCAGGTAAGCCCCACATGTGACTATACATGTGGAGAAGGGAAGATAAGTTCCCCCAGAAAGCCCCTTCTAACAACCAATGGTGGCTTTAGAACTCACACCTTGGAATTTTCCAGAAACCCAGCCACTTGGGGGCTCTCCTTAGTGGAGAGTCTGCTTGGAACTGTACAGGAGTTACTTTCCAATTAGGGAATTTGGCAAGCTGGGAAAGGATTCTTTCCAGGTAACCCTGTAGCTGCTACCGTTTAGTAAACTGCTTGCTGCTTAGAGAGAATCATTTATTCTCTGGGACAGCTTCTCTGTCACAAAACAGCTGGGCTGTATGGCCACAAAGATGGACATCTGGAAATATGGCTGCACGCACAGCAGCAGGCCCAGAAGCAGAAAGGAGTTCTGAAGTTCAACCAGGGAAGTCAGGATATGTGGCATAAGGTGTTGGGAAGAAGGAATCTGACCCTAAATGCTTTTCCATCTTTTGCCTGTATGGAAGGCTCAACATCTGAGTTTTCACCCAGTGGCCTCTGAGGTTCTCGTGGACCCGAAACTTGCTCTACTCCTGAACTCTTCAAATGCCGCTGATGACCAATTTGGTGACCAATAGGACCTTGCATGGGCCACTCTTCAGCTCCTGCCCCATCCCATCTCTTGCCCATGTGCTGAGGAAGAATGAAAACTAGCCATCGTGTACTTAGCTTAAATGGAATCTGGAGAGTGACGTCCCACTCCATGGAGCTGGTAGTCATTGTTTGAGACTCTGTGATATTTGCATTGTAGATCCTTAGATTTGAAAGTCTGGTGATTCAAACCAAAGCTTAGTTTTTCTTTTCTGTTAATTTGAAGGGGAAAAAAATACCAGCTTGGCTATTTCTTCACATCTTAAAATGCCTTGACTTCTCTCCATAACCCACCGCAGGTCCCAGGATATGAGAAATGCTAGGTCCAGGGATGCAAGAGGTAACTCTACCCAGTGACAATGCCCAAGAAACATCTAATCATGGAAATAGATGTCTGTGATGTACAGAAGGCTGGGGAAACTCACAGGGGCCATAAGTGCACACAAGTGTGGGCAGTGATCCATGAAGCTGAGGTCTAAAGGAAGAAGAGGAGGCAGGAAGGTCAGACTAGCCGAATTAGAAGTCTATCAATCTCGGTGCTGTTGACCTTGGACTCAGTCAATTCTTGGGTTCCTGTTATAGCCCAGGCTAGCCTCAAACCCTTGATCCTCCTGTCCCTGGTGGAGAAACAGCCACTAAACAGCATAATAGAATGTGACTGCCCTGTCCCTGATCTGGGTGTGGCTGATGGAAAGGTCTCTGTACCATGCCTTTAATCAGATCCAGGGTACCCAGTGGCTCAGAATTGGAGGAGGGGACAGAGGGAAAGGTAGACATTGCAAGAGACTGAAGTTTGGTGAGCACTTTGGAATTTGACACACATAGTCAAGTGCCTCATGGGAGGGAAGCTGGATCACTGGGACTCTGCTCCATGAGGGTCAATAAGCCCCATCCTCACCCTGCCCGGGGTGAGACATTGACGATCAATGGATGTCTCTGCTGTACACGGGCCAGGCACCAGCCCTCCTCCTGAAATGCTGCTCTTATCTGCTCCTGTTTCTTAACCATGCTGTCCCTCCACCTCTCATACAGAGCTCTGATGTGTCAGCCTCCTGACCCTCAGAACCATATGGACACACTGGAAAGCCCCACCACAGACAGTCTTGCCATGGTTTCTCTCTCTCTCTCTCTCTCTCTCTCTCTCTCTCTCTCTCTCTCTCTCTCTCTCTCTCTCTCTCTCTCTCGGCATTGAGCTTCACTCTATGCATGGGCCCACTGGAGTACTGACATCAGAGACATGCAGGAACATGGAGATCGGTGTTGATAGAAAGACACCCACACCCTACATAATTCTCTAGAGAAATCATGAATGTGTTGGGCAAAGCGCTGATTTGTTATGGAAGAAGCTGGCAATAACCCAGGGGTCACACAGAGTCCCAGACTGAATGTGTAATGGATCCTAAAGTGTAGAAGAGAATGCATTAGCTTTGTTGGTAGGGTGGGGTTTCTTCCATTCCTTGAAGTATCTATGTGGGCTTGAGGCATGGAAAACAGCGCCTCGACCAACTATAGAACTCTCTGGGGTGGGACCTGTAAATGAATGGGGCACTCAGGTCTGCTTCAACTTGATTCAACTCACAATTCTCTCTCTACTTCCTCTGGCTAACTGTGGCCTCACCAACAAGTTCTCAGCGTCCTTGGCTCTGCTGGAGCAATACTTTGGACTTTCTTAGCTTTGTGAAGCCCTTAGCGCTCAATCTACTGCTGGTCCCCATGTGGGTGACTGCCATTAATAAACAGTGGCTCCATAGCATCCCAGTCTCTGACATCTTGGCACCTGACTGAATGCCTCACCCCAAAGTGTACCTCTCAGGATATCGCTGGGCACACGCAGCTGAAATAGAGAGGCAGTGGGTGTCTCCTACCCATTTAGATGCTGATGTCCTGGGGATTGTGAACAGGGACAGCTAGGTCTCCTAAGGAATAGCTTGGAACAGCTTCCAGGTCCAGGGGGAACTGAGAGGTCTCCAGAAAGACCATCCCCTGACCTTGGTAGAAGCAGGAAGCTTTTCCTCCTGTTCCACAGCCCCAAGGTCAAAGCCAAGGCCATCATCGGGGGCACACAAGTCTGGCTCCACAGGCAAGCAGCCTTGCCATAGCAGGCCAGACTCTACAGCCCAGGTTCCCACTCCAGACCTGTTGTTCCTCCATCTTTTGATCTTTTCTTGGCGGTCTGCTCTATAGACTCCTCTGTCATATGTCCCAACAGGTGGACAGCTCTCCAAGTCACCAACTTGAGGAAAATCCCTCATTGTAAAAAAGGCTTTCTTTGTAAATTATTCTGTTGCCTTTTTCTAAACACAAAGTATATATACCTATAAATGCTATATATATTATATATGTGTATATATATAAAGACTAATTCTTGTACAGCCCTCCGCGGACCTCAGGCCCACACTGTTTTCTCCATGTCTGTCTGTACTGACTGCTGCAGGATGAGCTGATGTATGACCTTGGTTTCCCTTTTCCTTCTGGACCACTGTCTCTTTCCTCCCCTCTCTAGATTTGTCTTTCTCTCTGTCCCTTTCCCTTGTTGCCAACATGTTGCTGGGAAAGAATATTTGATTTAGATGCCATCCAAGAAAACAAGCAGAATGGGTGAATGGGTAGATGGATCGATGAGTGGATGGGTGAGTGGATGGATGGATGGATGGATGGATGGATGGATGGATGGATGAATGAATGAATGAATTAATTAATTAATTAATTAATGGGTGGGTGGGTAGATTGATATATTGGTGGATATGTGGATACGTGAGTGGATAGGCATGCAAATAGGTGGGTGAACAGAAGAGTGAATGAATAGAAGGAAGGATGGATGGATGGATGGATGGATGGATAGATGGGCAGACAGATGGACAGACAGGTCAGTGGATGGGTAGATGGATGGGTGGATGGTAAAACTGATGGATGTGTGGATGGGTGAGTGGGTGGATGAGTGGGTAGAAAGATGGGTAGATGGGTAGGTGGGTAGATGGATGGCTGAGTGGATGGATGGATAGAGGATGGATGAATGGATTGATTGATGGTTGGATGAGAGGTGGATGAGTGCGTGAGTGGGTAAGCACGTGGGTAGGTAGCTGGATGGATGGGTGGATAGATGGATGGATGGGCAGATGGGTGGGTGGACGGTCCACTGTGTATATTTGTACAGATCATTTATAAAGTTTTCTACACTTCTCAAAAAAGTATTTCTAACCTGGGCTGTTGGACAGTTTGTGAGCCTATGAGCCGGTGAGCCTGTTGTTTCTTGTGTCTAGTGCAACGTTTAGTGAGAATCCAATGTCTGAGTTATTTATGCCAATAAAGAATTTGAGACTTACTGCGTCAGCTGCTATCAGTAGAAGTCTGAGTTCTGCTGTTGTCTGCTGTATGGAAGGAAGCCTGAGGGGCTAACAAGGGTCGCTAACTGCCCGGATGATGCTGTGCAACAACATGTCCACCTAACTCTACAGCTTACAACAACAAGGATTTATCTTGGTGCACCTGGGGCTGTAAGTCTAGGTTG